AATTTTGAATAGAACTGCAAGCACATGGTATTTACATCAGTATGTTTAGACATGAAAGACCAGTCAGTATTACAAAGCAAACTGTACAAAAGTGAAAAATCAGCTTTACAAAAGTTAAAAGATTTTAATTCGGGATTATGCAAGGGCTTGTCATAAAACATTTTCGTTCTAATTAAATTATTTAAATTAATTACTAAGCTCGGGTGATGGGAGTCTTCAGTTAATAAAATATCAACTGCTGCATTGACAGTGGTTTGTTTATTTGAAATAACCAAATCCAAAATTCTTCCATTGTTATTACGTACAAAGTTATGCTGATTACAGTCAGTCAGGTCGAGAAAATTTAAAAGTGATTCTGTTTTAGCATCGCGTATCAAGGGGTTTGCTAGAAAACTAGAGTAAGAGGGTATATTGAAGTCACCAACAATAATGATTCTATCATGTAATAAAGTATATAGAGAGGATAAAAGTTCAAAAACAAATCCATATCGGCTGCACTAACTCTGTTGGCCGGAGGGATATATACTACAATAAAATAAACAATACTGTGACCTATAAAAATCTTGACTACAAGAATATCTACTACAAGTAAATCACTAAGATTTAAGTTATTTAAATCATATTTATACGAGGCAAAATTTGATTTAACCGCAAGAAGGACACCACCACCACGTTGACAATGAACATCTGAATATTTTCTGTCACTCCTATAGATTGTGTAATTATTATTAGAAATTTCTGAATTATGGACAGAGTCGTTTAAAAAAGTTTCAGAAAAAGCAATTATGTCATAATGGCAGCTAGCCAATGCATTATATATTTCCGGGAGTTTGGTGTTTAAACCCCTAACATTTTGGTAATAAACAACTGGAGTAGGGGAATCACGCATTGAATTATTGGTGTTCATGTCACACGAGTAGCGGGGTATTGTTGGACTATCAGGGCGGAAAAGAAGACAAACATTTGATTGCTATATGGAAAGTCCAAACAAATCTTGTTTGACTTTTTGAATGACCATCTTGTACGAATGACATTTGTCATGATCCCAAGCTGCGTGATTAATATTAACGTGTGATTATTATTTTTGAGATTAAAGTTGTAACAATTGACACATTTAAAAGCTTCAACATCTGCCTGGCATTCGTTCAAATTATGACGATCACCACACCGAGGACAAGAAGAAGAATTTTTACAAAATTTGTGTGAATGACCATAGCTGTTACAATTAAAACATCTGGAAACGTCAATAGCATCATATATAGTACAACCATTGAGACCAACAAGGCAGTGTCCCAATGTTAGTGCCCTTTTATATGTCAACAAATCCACTTCAAAAACAGCTTGAAAAATGGTATTATTTTTTTTAACCGGGCCATATTTTAACAAAGTACAGATTGATTTTTCGTCAAAAATTGATTCATTTTGTTTTCTCATATATAAAACAATGTCTTCTTTTTTTATGTAGTCAGGAATACCTGTAATTCTAATTTTTGGGCCAATAGTCTTGACTTCACGAATATCATACTGGTCTGACAGGTTATTCATGGCGCTTTGTTTAAAGTTACTTGAACTGTCACACTGCAGGAGCACACCACCATCTTTTAGATTTTTCACTTTCCCAATATTGATGTCCGTAAGAGGATCAACATTTTTTAAAACGTCTGATTTAGTTTTAGCAATTGATTGATTTTTCTGATTTTCACCTTTTGGCTTAACTATAATAGTTTTCTGAGAGTTTTTTATTAAAGTTTGGGCATAAGATGATTTTGCATGCATTTCATCAGCATCAGCTGACATTATCTGATCACAGGCGGGTAAGCATTTTTTTAAAATGATTATTTCATTACGCAATTTTGAATTTTCAAGAGATAAATTATTAACTGATTTTTCTAACATCGAAATAGTATCAGTTAATGGTTTTAATTGGTTTCCAATGATTGATTCAATCATTTTCAAAGAATGAGGAGACAAATTAAGTTCAGAAGCTAAAGGAATGGATTGAGTATGAGAAGCAGCAGAGGCAGAGGCAGAAAGTGAACAAAAAGCACACAACCAGGATGTTAATTTTCTTTCCATTTGAAGCTGATTGTAAGCATCATCATCAATGTTAACACATTCATTGTGAAAATTCGATTTACAAACATTACAGGACAAATAGTTCTGACTTCTAGTTACGGTGCTATTGCATTTACTGCATTTTATAGCCATTTTCGACACTCGCAAGTGCTGAAATCACACTGCGGCCAGTTTGGGGTCAAGTAGAAGATAAGCAAATTCTGCCAAAAAAGTCGACGGTAAGAAAAACGAATGATAACGAATTCAATCAAGATGTAAAAGTCGGAAGGAAACATGGAATATGTTTCCTTCGACAAAAATTAACAAACCAATCTATTCGTCAGTATATATAATTATTTAGATTTACGAGAGGCTCAAATCAATATGGAACAAACTCACCTAAATGATTCGAATGTACGGAGCGACAAAATGCACGTCTACACTCTGCTACACACGAAACGAATTATATTCTACCTATGACACACTTTCTTCGTATAATTAAAAGTATTCGATAACTGGAAGAAGAAAATATTTTCTAAAATTTCCAAAATAATATCGAGTGTGAAGTTATGGTTTATTCTGCACTCATTTGTTCTTGATCAGATTTAAGCGCTTTGGAGATATATATTGTACACCGCATAACCATTAAAAAATGGTTATGCGGTGTACAATAATGTTATGCATATTTTGAACGAATGTACAGTCGTGATTTCACTTTTCAAGCCTATATTTCCGTGTTACTTACCTTGTTCTTTCGAAGTTGATGGTTGCGATCCGTCAATTGTTTCTGTAGTTTGTGCATCTAAAAATATAAATATATTAAGTTTTGCATAACGTAAAGTCAACAAAAATTACCTATATTTTCTTTACCATCTGATCCTTGCATTTTTTCCAATAGACGCGACATCTTTGTGATGTCTCTAGCCGCTATGGGCATCCTATAGTGGTCATAATGTATCTTCTCAGCATGGCCCAAATAATTTGCTAGATCTTTAACTTCATTGTCATGAAGCTCTAAAAGGATACACTGCGTTGCAATATGCTTTCTGAGAAACGTCCCTCTTAAAGTCTTGGGGTTTTTTGCTCCACATTTTTCAGAAAACTGAACCATTGATTGGTATGCATCCAGATGATGATGTGATCTGTCAGGATGTGGCAACCGAAAATCGTACGGATTTTCGTCACTAATACCCACTGTTTTTCTGTTCTCAAGTAACAATTCTATACATTCTAGTAATTCTTTGAAATCAGAGCTGGCACTCCTCGACCTAATTTACCTCTTATAGAAAATCTGACATATTGCATGGCTGCACTTTTAGAATCTTCTTCCTCGTCAATTTTTTGTTGATTACGAAAGGCTTCATTTTTATTTTGCGGTAACTGTGTAGTCAAATAAAGTGGCCTGAATGTACAGTAGATGGTATTATTATACTTGCAAGCTCAAAATCACGTGTTTTTTCGGTACTTTACCATTTGAGCTTTCTACTGTAAATTCAGAGAAAATATATGAAATTATTAAACGGAATTACTTATTACATGGCAGGAAGCCCAATGGATTTGTGATACATGCGGCGAGGAACTGGCAGGTGGGTCTGCAGCAACGCATCCGTGTTTTGGTGGGCAACAACAGTTATTTCAAATTGGCGAAACAACTCGCATAACACATGATGCAAGTCGATATAATACTACCGACAGCAATGAGCTGTTGATAATGGCCATTTCAAGTCGACCAGCACTGTATGACCACAGGCTGCCCATTAGTGATCGAAGCAGAATTATATTACACCGGCTTTGGGAAGAAGTGGTCATGGAGGTTGATGGGCACTTTAAGGACCTCCAAGAAATCCAACTGCGCTGGCGTAGTTTGCGGGATCGCTTTGTCAAGGAATTCCAATCCTCTCATGGCCAAACGTTCTGGGGATGAGGGTGGAACACCACCCCGTAAGTGGCTGTATTATACTTCATTATTATTTCTGAGGGATGTTATAAAACCCAGAAAAACAATAACAAATGTTCCCTTGAATGAACCTGAGCTCAGTCCTTCAACCAGCTTAAGTTCCCGTGCTTCTACCAACACAAGTTTGAGTGCTTCAATCAGCACGACAACCAGTAGTAGTTGTGGTTCAACAAATACAAAAAGAAAGCGCGTTGAAAGACAGACTGAAGCAAGTTCGGCGGCATTAATAGTTGAGGCACTGAAAGAAAACAGTCACATACCAGACGCAAGTGATGCCTTCTGCACACGTTTGGCAGCAGGGTTGCGAGGGTTGCCAACAAGGGCCAGATCGCAATTGGAGATCCAGATTCTCCAATTGTTATACGAGAAAGAGGAGGAATGTGGATTACACGATTAGAATTTTTGTTTACAATTTTTTATTATAAATACATAAATACACAACAAGCATAACTATTATTAATTTCTCTTCCATTGCCATGGTACAGCTCCTTTAGAAACAAAATACTCCTTAAAAGTATTTCTAATTGCAGCTGCAGATTGAGAGTGGGAATTAGAACCAGCATTTCCAATACTTGGTAAGGTAGTGATCTGTTGTCTCCATGTTCCATATAGTATTTTGCCTTCTTCATCCTCTCTGTCAACAAAATTTGGAGGACAATATAGTCTTCCCACAGAAGGCAAATTATTGTCGCCTTTTTTGAGAAAACTGTGTAGACAGACTGTTGCCAATATAATTGATTCGATCGTTTCCAAGCTTGCAGTTATAGGTCGTCCATAGATTCTCCATTTGGCAGCAAGAATGCCGAAACTATTCTCTATGACTCTTCTTGCTCTACTGAGCCTGTAATTGAAAATAGACAAACTTTGTTCAATATTTCGTCCTGGAAATGGTCTCATTAGAAAAGGCGTTACTGGAAGGCTTCATCTGCTACTAAAACGTATGGCAATGCTGGCCTACTTAACGAAATGCGTCGTTGCCTTGGCAAATTCATTTTTCCTTGATAAAACTTTTCTCCCATGGCAGACACTCTAAAAATCCCACGCTATGAGAGCCTTTGTAGTTGTAGAATGAAGAACCAGAATGTGGTGATGCTGTTATTACTACATGTTTCCCGTCCAAAGCACCAATACAGTTGGGAAAATGCCACTGCTGCTCAAAATCTTCAGCGATAGCTAACCATTCATTTTGTGAAGGAAACTTCAAGGTTATGTCTTTCAAACACAACCATAGTTCTTTGCAAGTTTCCTTAATAACAGCAGAAACAGTACTTTTCCCAACACGGTGTAAATAAGACATAGATATCATGTGATCCCCAATTGCTAAATACCTGCAATAGTTGGAATCTTAAAAATCTGTGATTATGTTCAAATAACTATCTCACCTTAATGTTATGCTGAGCCTTTCGGCAGGGGAAAGCATATCTGTCCTAAATTGATCATTTTTTTGTAATTGTGGTCCAACGAGATGTAATAAATCATCAAACTGTACACTAGACATTCGAAAATAATTGTAGTATTTATCTTCATCCCACAAGCGCATTTCGCCTATTAAATTTGCAAATGCTCCATGCTGCGCCCGTTTTGAAAATATTTTTCTAACTCTGCAACGTCGCTTTGCCCGTTTTTTTGCTTGCTGTTCATTTGTTTCTAAAATATACGCCACTACTAACATTTTCTTCTTTAACTGGCAATTATGAGACTGAGTTAATAGCACCATGTTCTGTAGTCGCTTATTAACAATAGTATTCTGTCAAATTTTTAGGTTAGAGCACTGTCGCAGGAGTGATGTCAACGCAGCTGGTTGACGTAGAGCTGTGAACCTATCTTTCTACATTAATCCGTTAACGGACGAACGGAAACGTACGACCGGAGAGCTATGAACCCACCATAAGGAATGAATTAGTGTCATCTAATTGTATTCATTATAACTTTGCTTTGCTTGATCACTAAGACTTTTCATCTAAACGTTCCCATTTGGGAGTCGGGAAGACCACCTAATAGGTCTCAGGGGAAAGCGGCCCAGCTCAAGTAGGACTTTTTCAGAGAATTCAAAGATGTGCCGGACATGGAGGACACGATCAACGTGAACAGAAGCATGTTCAAATCTCCCTTCCCGCCAGAACTACGCTGGTATCGAAGGAGGGAGATCTGAAAGATCCGGCTAACTGGCGTCCAATTACTATCGGCTCGGCAGTACAACGGCTGTTGCATAGGGTGGTGTTGGCGTCTCGTCTTTCAACGTTGGCCTCAATGAGCTCGTTCGAGAGGGGTTTTACAGAAATTGTCGGAACTCTTGCGAACGCTATGATACTCCACGAGTACTTCAGGTACGGAAAGCTTTCGATACGGTATACCACTCCTCTATTAGTAGGGCGCTAGATCGCTTGGGGATACTCAAAACGCTATCTAAGTACATTAAGGCGACCATAGATGCGACGACCTCTATAAAAGTAGGTACGGCCACGAGGAGACCAATTGGGATCCGCCGTGGAGTGAGACAGGGGGACCCGATCAGTCCGGTCTAATTTAACATATGCCTAGACGAAATTCCGGAAAAGGTTAATGAGAAATACCAGGGCGGCTCATTACCAAACGGTGGGCGCTGTGCTATCATGGCGTTCGCCGACGAATTGATCCTCATCACTGACCACGATGTAGAAATCCCCCTGATGCCCGACGATGTCGCTGCAATTTTAGAACGAAGGGGAATGGCGGTTAACCCAGCCAAGTGTAGAGCTCTACTCGACGGGGTGGTAAGCTGACGTTCGGTGGCGCGGAATAGATATTCCTACACCATCAACGGCACGTTGATTCCAAATGTCGATGGTTTCAATGCCTTTCAGTATCTGGGAGACGAATTTGGCCACAAAGGCGTGGAAAGACCGAACCTCTGCAACCTTACGATCTGGCTAGATAGCATCAGGAAATCACCTCTTAAACCTGACCAGAAAATTTCGCTCATAAGGCTATAATGTCATTCCTCGACTGCTTTACGACTTGCAGAATCTCAAGGTCACTTCCGAGACTCTCAGGGCGGGAGATAATCTTATGCGTAAAGTGGTTCCACGAATATTCCTGGGTAGCCTCAATACTCTGCTAGAGAAGGAACATGACCAGGCTTTGCAGGCTGAGGTTATTGATGGCTTCGTTGTGAAACGTGGCGGGTGACTTTCCGGAGTCTACTTTCTGGAGAGCGAGAATAGCCGCTGGCGCCCTCTCCAAGGACCTAGAACAAGCCTCTGAGGATTCTTAGTAGGCTCTGGATCAGCGTGAAGCCGGCCGGCTGGTCGGGTAGGAATTACGTCCGGGCGGTTCAACTGGAACGGACAATCTCCCGACGAAACCCATTCCAACTGTGCCGGTTGGTGTCGAAACGGCTGTAATGTCGATGAATCGATAGCCCAGGTGCTGCAGACTTGTCCGCTCACGCACGGCTGAAGAATTTGGGGACACGATGAAGTCGTGAAGAAAGTCGCTCGCCACTGTCGTACCCGTGGTTGGAAAATAGAGGAAGAACCGCACCTGCGCTCCCCGTGCGGGCAATTGTTTAAACCCGATCTGGCAGTTCACCAGCTAAACGGCACCGTTGTGATAGCTGATGTACAAATAGCGTGGTACTCCAAAGGCTTGAGAATGCCTTCTGAACGCAAGCGTGGCAAATATGACGTGCTGCCACTCCATCGGGCGGCAAAGAAAGTATGTTCGGCTAAGGAAGTCGTTTTTGCTCCGATCATCGTGGGCGCCCGCTGCGCCTGGCCGCGGATTAATAACGACCGCTCTGCGGTTCTGATAATCCCTCCGGTCATACGGCGCAATTGTGTGAATTCGGTACTCAGGTGGGGTTCGTCTACACATGCCGAGTTTAACCGCTCGGTGTGGGCAAGACATCATAACCCCCATCCGGCTCCCGAAAATACCACAGGCTAGAGGACGGTTACTTTCTTTCTTTCTTGGCAAAGTCCGAAGCCGGGTCGCCTACGCGGTCCAGGAAATAGGACGCATTCAACATCTGCCTCGCGCAAACATCTGGCGCTTATCGCCTCTTATAGCCGCAAGACTCATGTCACAGCCAAATGCCTGGTCATCTCATCAGTGACGCGCATAAATGGATTAACGAGATTAAGAAAAGGAAATGGAAATTAAATAGTATATTATAAATCAAGGGAAAGAAATGTTCGATTTCGTCAGAAGTGCAAATTTGACGCCAGAAGAAGAAGCCCGACAAAGCACTGAGGGCGAAATGAATTTCGTGCCCGTAGTTTATATACTATTTTTTACACGACCAAGAACTAAAACGATCGATTTTATTAAGCTAAAAATTGTACGGAAGAGGGGCTTAAATTTTGGGAGCTTTGGAAATTTTCAATGCATACCATGACAACCAAAATTTGTTTACTATCAAAAAAGTGATTGTTTCACGAAATTAGTTTAAGTTTTGGTTCAAGCAAGTGTTTTTGTGGAGCAGCCAGCGGAGGAACCTCAATCCAAAGTGGACTCTGCAAACGCGGCAACGTTGAACTTATTGTTGCAGAAATCACGAGATTTGTACGATAAAGTTTCAGAGAATGGTGCAGAGAAAGAGAGCGAAAACCTACTCAGAAAACGTACTGCCCACGTATTTTGATGAAAAATCCACAGAATACAAATCATCATCGTTGTGGGCCCAATATTCGATGATAAGATCCTGCATTCAAGTACATGATAATATTGACATAAGCAAATATGCCAAACAACGGGCCTTGTTGTACAGAAAATCGGACGGATATGTTGCGAAAAAATCCAAGGTTTTTACGGACAGTCAGATTGAAACGTTTTTGTCAGAAGCAGATGACAATGAATATTTACTAATGAAGGTAAAATTGTGTTGACTGATTTTTGTGTAGTAAAATTATTGTAATAAATTTTATTTTATTCTTGCAGGCAGACATCACAACGATTAAAAGCCATAGGGGTTGGAAAATTACGACAGTGGCGGAGTTATTTGGAAAGTTCAATCGAGAACAAGCCAAATATTGCAAATAAGGTTTTACAAGGAATAGTTTCCTCTGATGGAAACTTAAATGGATCATCGAGTGTATCATCAATGTCACTTAGTGAAATTCCTTCAAATATTCAATTTAAGACATGCAAACATATTACTGTTAATATTAACGTTAATAAAAATTGAATTAAAGTTGGTGGTTGTTAATTTTTTCTTTTGCCTGAAAAATAAAACTCCCTAGGGAGTTTTTTTCCCTAACGACGAAATGTATCACTTCTGACATGATTTTGCGACCATAGAAACCAACTTCTACTCTTGGTCGTGGAAAATAGTTATTTAAGTCATAAGGAACGTAAGGAGACTATAACGTTCGAGGAAAAATTGTACGGACCGAGGCCCGTGATTCTTCCGAGGAATGTTAGTTCTTACGTTCTGCATGAGTTTTTGTTGGAGCGACACCTAGTGTCGGCCGTGCGAGGCTCGCTCGTGTAGTCGCCTTCACGAGATGGCTATATTGCGCAGAGCGACACAGCGCCACTTGAAGACGCCATATTTTTAGATACTTCTGGTACGACCGTCCGCGTGGCTACCAGCGCGACCATGTTACGCTCGTCGAATATTCTCTTGTAATGTGCCATAATGTAATATACGTTAGTAACCGATTCCGTGGTGTTTTCATTTCCGCCAACAGGTTATGGGCCCAGAGCGCGAATAAACGGAATCGCGTATATTCGAAGGTACTGAAGTGTGTGCACGTGTTGCGTTAAAGTACGCCCTCAAGATGAATGCCGGAAATTCCTCGCGCATCGAGTTGCTGCGGAAGGACAACTTCGATACGTGGAAATTACAAATGCAGGCGGTGCTGATCAAAGGCGACCTGTGGGAGTACGTGAGCGGTACTTGCGTCAAGCCTGAGGCAACAGCGACGAACGCGGCGGCCATTGCTGAATGGGTCAAGAACGACAGCAAGGCGAGGTCGGATATTGTGCTCTCGATCAGTCCGACAGAACTGAAGCAAATAAAGAATTGCGACACGTCCAGAAGCATGTGGCTACGCCTGGAGGAGATCTACCAGTCGAAGGGGCCTGCGAGAAAAGCGACACTCTTGAAAAGCTTGATCTTATGCAAAATGGACGATGGGGGCGACGTGCGCGAGCATCTGCGCGAGTTCTTCGACTCCGTGGATAAACTGAACGACATGGACGTCGACATCTATCCGGATCTCCTGGCCATCTTACTAATTTACAGCCTACGCGCGAGTTTCGAGGTCTTTCGATGTGCGATCGAATCGCGAGATGATTTACCGTCACCGGAAGCGCTGCGCATTAAGGTCGTGGAAGAGAGCGACGCGCGCAAGAACTGCGCACGCGGCGGAAGCGGCACGTCCGGCGTCATGGTCGCCAACAAAAATGGCGGTTGGCGGGACAACAAAAATGGCGGTTGGCGGGATAACAAAAATAGCGGCTGGCGGGATAATAAGGAGAGAGCGGAAGCTGGCAGAAGTCCCAACGGAAGACGGAACAACGGGGGCTCCAAACTTCGCTGCTTCAAATGCGGGC